TGGCAGATATTTCACGCTCCTGACTGACCACAAGCCACTTCTGTCGATATTCGGTTCAAAGAAAGGAATTCCAGTTTTTACGGCGAACCGATTGCAACGATGGGCGACCATACTACTGGCCTATAAGCCGACGCAACAGATCGGTCAAGCGGATGCCCTGTCTCGTCTCATCAGTTCATACCCAAAGGAGAATGATGATTGTGTGATTGCAGCTATCAGTTTCGAAGCAGAAGTCCAACGAATCCTGGCTGATAATGTGAGAAGACTACCAGTAACAGCCGACACTATTCGTATGGAGACATCACGGGACAGAATCTTGGAGAAAGCGATGCAGTGTACGAACATGTTGGCCAAATGGAGGCCTACCTATGGAGTTGCGGCCGTTTTACCATCGACGTGCATCCCTGTCAGTCGTGGACAATTGTCTGATGTTTGGAGATCGAGTGGTGGTGCCAAGGAAATTACAGAGGCAAATATTGCAGCAGTTCCACACGGGGCACCCTGGTACCAGCCGCATGAAAGCCTTGGCACGCAGTTTTGTTTACTGGCCAGAAATGGATTCGGAAATTGAAAAATTCTGCCAACAATGTGAATCTTGTCAACTTGCAGCGAAGGTCCCTCCCAAGTGTCAGTGGCAACCTTGGCCTAAGGCAGAGAAACCGTGGCAACGAATACACTTAGACTATGCAGGACCAATCAATGGCCAATCCTATCTCGTTTTGGTTGACTCATTCACCAAGTGGCCTGATGTGATTCCGGTAAACAATCCGACTGCACAGCACACTGTCAACGAGCTAGAGAAGCTGTTCCGATACTTCGGCCTGCCAGAGGTGTTAGTGACAGACAATGGAACACAATTTACCTCGACTTCTTTTCGCGAGTGGTGCAAGGAAAAGGGAATTCAGCAGATGTTCTCACCACCATATCATCCGCAATCCAACGGACAGGCGGAAAGGTTTGTGGACACGTTCAAACGTGCACTCCGTAAAGCAGGGCAAATAAGGGCTTCACAGGATGCAATTCAATCTTTCCTATGCATGTATCGGAACGCTCCGAATCCAAACTCCCCTGATGGGAAAGCCACCACAGAAGTACCATTTGGAAGAAAGATTCGGACGTTGTTCGATAATCTTTTACCGAGAAGAATAGAAAAGCACGGCAACAGTCACCTGGAGGAAGATTGCAAGACCAAGCTCCGTAATTTCAATGTTGGTGACATGGTTTACGCCCGGGATTTTCGAAGGCCGAAGAGGTGGTCGAGCGGAACAGTTATCAGCAGGAAAGGCAGAGTTATCTATGAGGTGATGGTTGGACGTGAGAGATGGATTAGGCACATCAATCCGTTGAGACCGAATCATGGCAAAACCCAAGATCCCCAAGAATCACCAGCTTTACATTGGGACATCCTACTAGACACGTTCGGGCTGGAAGCTGAGGGTGAGCAACCAGGTGTGACGAAACAAATGCCGCAAACATCAGATGCACAATGCCGGCCGGCTCGGAAGCGGAGAAGACCAGAACGGCTGTAAATCGATCCCGGGCGAAAACCTATGAACACAATAAGGTTCGAAGGGTGTGCAAGGTGACTCAATTCGGAAGGGGAGGTGACAGCTGGGCGAGAAAGCTGAGTGCCAACGCTCGCGCATGTGCCACCTATCGTGTGTGGGAAAGTCCCTGCGAGCGTGTTAACAGGACCCAGCCGAGAGCCGATGAAATCGCGCGTCAGACATCACGCGCGTTGCCGTGCGTTGCGTGGGTGGACGAAGACTGGAATGCGCGAGCAACACGATGAACTGGATAGATGGAGAGGACAAGTATTGTGAAGCGTGGGCGTACAGTCAAATCCGCATTGTAATACCGACATATAAATGTGAGCGTTGTTTGCCCTAATAGAACTCTGGTCTGCTGAGTAGTCTTCTGTCTCCGTTCCGGTCGGGTTTACCAAGGCGTCAATCAGAGCACGCGTGAGGGCGCAGATTAAACAGCAGGCATGAATCAGACCAGGCGAGAGCGTTCACAGCGTTATAACACCTCAGTACGGTTTAAGCAGCACGAAGTAGTTCAATATATCCCAGAGAGGAACCAGTGCAGTTCCCAGGTTTAATTGGAATTTACAGGAAAGTGCCGACGATGGATGACAATTGTTCCGACAGTGAATGATAGCTCGATAGATCTGTGTGAGACAAGACATAACAAGTCGATGAATCATAGAGTAATAATCTTATTGCCGGTAAATTACCGTTTGAGTCCTGAGAAGGTGCTCTAGATAGCCTCAAACCCGGATCGCATAATATTTGGCAATAAGCCAAGTCAGCAATAAAATGAGACATATTGTCTTTGGTGGCCATGGAAAATGAGCTAGCATTGATACCGCAAACAGTCGTTGAAGTGCCCTCGGTTATCAGCATAATCAAATGAGAAACAAACCAGGTGCTAAATCTCTACTTAGTGAATAGCTTGAGCACGATGTCTCACATGACAGATGGTTGCGCTGTACTATGTCAACCTATCTGGTTGGATATGGATCGGCTGAGGCCTTAAGAGGACAACAGAGTCTCATAATAGTCGTTGCGGTTGTCTTAAGCTAAATAACGACCACACAGCAATAAGACAAGTAGTACATTGACAAATGAACGCGTTCAGCGCACTTTCATCAGACAAATTCTTGATCTGCACAAAGGCTCACCTATTCAGTTCGTTGCGACTTACTTGCTATTGATCCAGTATGGCTCCGTAAGCCAAAGATTAGCCGCTCTTTACTTTCTATATCATACATGGGCGTATCCATTAACCCAGATTCCTTCAAGTGTGATATAAGGCGCAATATAAGAGATGTAACACAGGATACACCCTGCAAGTCTAGAATTCATGCACAAATCCACGTGCAAGTTTCTTCTTAAACAGATACGCAAACATCTGGAATAGGATGCCATTTTCCTAAAGTCAAGCATATCACCACCTGCTTTCGGCACCATAACAATCAGCTCATAATCTCAAAGTCTACACCTAATCGGCCATAAACTGAAGCTTAGTAAACAGGACGTAAGCATACTTGACCCGAACTAGTATCCGCAGATGTCACTAATCTGAGTGCGCACTTGCTATTCGACTACAATAACACAAAGTACTAGATGGCTAGCTATCAGATCAAGCTAGATCCCATACGTATTCATACCTGTCTGGTTGACTGGTAGTATTACATTGGGAACCCCGACTCTTTGGATCTCCCTTCGCTCACATCCCGCCTTAATTGAGCTCGGTCCCAGTTCCTTGCCTTGTGATATGATCCAAACATCATTGAGACCTGACGGAACACAAGTGTATAGAGATACCTCTTTTGCACGTCACACGTAGTTTTATCCGAGCGTAGCGAGTCTATCACGTCAGAGTCAAAGTGAGGTGATTTTGAGGAACAAGCGAGCAAGAGGCTCGCATGCGGGTTACGGGCTTCGCGACATCAGGCGTAGACTTAATCGGCAAAACGGAACCGGATAATTGAATCTGCTTGGAAAAGCAGATCGTTTGTCGTGAATATGCTTAACTGGGCATTATTGAGTTACAAGAAATCTGGTGCAGTCGCGGAACGCCACGGATTTATCTCTTACAGTGTTAACCGCCTGTGTACAAACAGGTAAAGTGGAGGTGGTGTTATCATGTACATCAACTCATCAGGGTGCGCGTCAATAAAAAGCCTTTTTTGTTGCAGCTCACAACGTATCAGCTGTTTAATCGTGAGATGCTGACCAACATAAGTGAACGACTATGGCTCGATCTGGTTGTTTAATATTTATAATTTCCCTAGCTTCGTTAACAGAGCCTGAGAAATACAAGAATCAGGATCTCTAATTAGACCTCGGTGAATGAGAGGTGGTAGACCGGCCTGATGGAGTTAGATACGCAAACAAATGTTACAAAGTCACTTAATGAGGTGGGTTGAATGAAGGCAGTTATGCTTATTATGTGCAATTAAATGTCCGCGTGTAACAGGGCGAAAATGCTGTGCATGTGCAGAAAATAAATCCAGTTTAAATAACGGAGGAGTATAGGGGGCGGAATACATTATTTAGATTAAAAGTTGCCGCCTATTGATATCCATCTCTCCAATAGTATGGGCTCAGGTTTCCTATATCGGTTTATGATGAGCACTAGTCGTAGAGTTTGCTAAAGCTGTCTACAATAGGATAGTGTGTAAAGAGCGAGCTGAGGGTTTTGACCCTTTGATTCGATTCCGGATAATCGAAACTCCCTGGGGGTGACCGCAAACAGAAAACAGTTAAGTGTGTTCGAATGCATGTCAACTTAATGACAACTACACTCAATTCTAATTCCAATATCCGTCAATACCCGAAAATCCAAAGAAGTCGTTTGGAAAAAGCAAATCGCAGAAGTTGCTTGCCAAGTTACAGGAGTTGTCATTTAACTTAATTTTCAACGGGCATCTTGCGACGCTGTAGCAAAACATGAGAATGTGACATTCGATACAAGCAATAAGGCTGTGGTTAGTCCAAATATTTAGGATACGTTGAGTTCCACTATGAGCTGCTACATCCACTCAGCGATGTGAAGGACTGTGTCAACAGGGAATTGCTTAAATTTTACCGAGAGCTTAATGATGCAACACTCACCAGCTAGCGGCCAAATGGTCAGGAATAGCCAACGAAAACGAAGCGTTAAGGATTTTTCGCGAAGCTGTTTGCACACGCATCAGAACTAGCCCATCCCAACTGCCCAATAAAACTTGTAATGGCAACATAGTTGAAAAGTTCAATATACCGTGCAAATAATGTAAACGAAACGTGTGAAAACAGAACGACCTTACGAACGGGTAACGAGTTGAGTAAGATAACATTGTATCGCGCCACAATAGGAGATAAGTGAGCCATTTAGTCGGTAACCTAATCAATCATCAATAGTCGGTTCAATTCATACACTTGTTCACATCTGGCAGAAAGACCCCCAGATAAGGTGTTCGGTATATGATAAACTAACGGCAAACACACCTTCATCGCTGACAAGTAATGTGGGGCAGGTAACAGCGTTTTCTGCTTCCTCCGCCACAACATCCGATTCAGGAATGGGTTCATCCGCATTAATTGGCTGCTCTTCAGTCACAGTTTCCGGTGAATGGGATCTAGCGCTTTCATGGAGAGTTTGAATACGGTGTTCTGGAGAGCGTGGAATTGGTGGCTTCTGAGGAGAAGCCGGTTTTGTGTTGGGAAGCGGAACGGGTAAGGCTGGCTTTTTGACAGGTGTGCGTCGACCGGCTGAACGGTTGTCTACGGACCCATCCTCATCGTCAGAACTGGTCAAGTAAGAAAATATGGCACATCGGGTTAGGCAGGCATGTAAGGAATGAAGATGAACAAGGGCTGTTGAAGTAGTCAAAGAGGTGAATAAAAGCAATGACAAACAGCAATGATTTTAAAGTAGTCCTTGTAATAACCAATATGAAAAAGGGTGGCGTATGAAAAATAGTTGAGTTGAGCAGTTCCGTAGCGGAGAAGAACCGTGACAACCCCATTGAGAAATTTGACCAACTACTCAGTTTGAAGACTTGATGACAAAAAAGGAAATAGAACAACACCATCTTCGCTAGGTGCCGTAATGCAAATGGTAGACAGATTAATCCTGCAGACCTGGTGAACGTCCCATTAGTTATACCAAACGGCGAGTTATTTAGTAAAACCAAGGCATATGTAAAGGATGAAGGACAGATTACCGTTGAGAAGCGGTGTGCAATGCCTCCGCCAGTCGCAAATAAGAGTTGGAGATTTCCAACGATTATATGTTGAAGGCTACGAGGACAAAACGCAGTTAAACTACGAAAAGTGATACATCAGTTACATACGAGCCACTCGCTGATCTTTGTTACCGCTTACTCTGGTCTTCCGATGAACTCAACATAAGCAGCGTTGTAGGCAAAGAAATGGAGCACAGACAATATGCACGTCAATAGCTTAAACAATGGGTAAGGCGGCCCTATTGCTTTCTCACGGTCATCACACTCGCGAACTTACGTAGCTTTGCTCTCCAGTATCGACAAGTGCTGCTCCATGGCCTGGATCACCTTTGCAGGAACCTAGACAGACGAAAGGGAGAATGAACAATGTGGATGTCATTGTAGGTAACGAAGACTCACTGTTATACGACCATAATGACTATATTAATGAAAGAGAATGGGAGGGGGTCTAGTAAAACCACAAAATCCTACGCTAACGCTCACGGTTTAGGTAGTTAGACCTTCTCAACAACAAATGATCACAAACAGTTGTCTACCGTGTGAAGACAAGACGGCACTGATGAGAGTCGCATTCTGACTTGTACAGTCTCACATCACAACCAAACTTACCATATAGACAACTCAACATTTTACGAACTTCGGACAGTAAAATGCCATCGGCTCAGACTGCGAGCCATGATCAGTAAACTCCACCCAAAACCGTATGAGGACCAGGCGGATTTGAAAGATCAGGCGGATCGAGAACGATGCTAAGTCAGTCTGCGCCCCATGTAGGCTTGTGCTATTCTATAGCCGGTTACCAGAACAGGGACCGGCCTAGGTAAACGGTGAGTAGGAATAGGTAATATGTGCCTAAATCGAAAAGTGTTTATCTGATCCGTCCAATACCTACCCACGTACCTCGTCATTGTGAACATAATGGTATCACGCGACAACGAGAATAGCGCCCCGTTGGCAGCGATAAAAGTGATATAATATGAAACATAATCTCCGCTCCACACTAGACTGTAAAAGCACACCGAGTTTCAGGTATAGCCGCTGGAGATCGCGCTGTCATAGAAAGACTGCGCATTCATTCTAGAACTGAACACGAAGTTACATAGTTACGCCAATGGTACCACATCAAATATCTAAGGGCCACAATCAAAAACATCATAGAGGGGAAGTGGAAGCAATGCACTCGCGAGATGCAGTTCAACACTGTGTAGGAAAACAAGAGGACAGCAGCAGAAACTTCCGGATTACCGTCGAGGAAGTTATTGATTGATCAGACAAAATTCAGGTAAGAAAAGGTTGTCAGTTATCGCAGGTTATATATATATATATATATATATATATATATATATATATATATATATATATATATATATATATATATATATATATATATATATATATATATATATATATAGTATCTGCGTTGCACTTGACGCCGTTCGCATAAAAACACAGATCGTTATGTGGAGTCGTGATCGGGCTCTTTCATGAGTAAGCAAATGAGTAGATCTCTGTCGAACATTCTTCGAACCAACCATTAAATTTATATTGGGCCTTCCTTAACTCACCTGCCTACTTGATAGGTAAATTTTGGTCAACCTCTCAAAATTCTCCGGGAAGGTTACTTAATGAATCTTGGTCGTTGTCAAATTCTAACTGATGTAACGTTCGAGCATTAGGAAGGAGTTCCTTGCGTTCGCAGAACACTTGGTTTTTGACAGATGTTTCACAGGATGAAGTACCGGACGTTAAAGTAATCTGAGTGACGAGCAATCGTGGCCAACTTGTAGTTAATGCAGGACTGTGTTTGCGAATCCAACTAGTAAATTACGCAGGTCCAACTCAGGTTGACCGGAGCACGTGTCTTGATTGAACTGGTTGAGTTGTAGCGTGCGATTGTGTCTCAGGTACTGCAATCGTTACTGTTGGAGATAATGCAGTTGGTGGCACTTCTAGGAATGCAAATCATGTGCATACTGGACAGGGGCTTGGTGGATGATTTGGAAGAGATTCCAGCGAAATCGGGGTGAACGAATATACATCTGTATTAACTTGGGTAATATGATGAGTCTGGCGGGAGAGACTATGGTGTGCTGAGGCTGTTGGTTGCTAGATCCTGAGAGATGGTCTACCCACTGCTGCTACTGCTGTGCCATTTGCTCATGTTCTGGGCGACTCCACGTGGCGCCCGCTGGGTGGGATTTGAGTTTCGCCCTTCTCCCTTCTAAGATCCAGGACACCAAGCCGCATGACTTAGTGAACTGATCATGTGCTAGACCCGCTGCCTTTCGGGTGTTCATTTAATCGAAGGCTTTGGCTGAGGACCCGAGTCGTTCTCCTGTCAGGAGTGGGCGCTATGCCAGTATCCTAGTCCATCTTCTTCGGAGGTTAGGAAGTGGTCGATGGCCCACTTCCAGTAAAACCTAGCAATGGGAGACAACAGGTCTACGGGTTATAAGCTCACAGCTCGGTTGGCGTAGAGCACGAGGGCCATGCATTGTCTCTGACGGTGGGAGGACACCTCCGGGTATTCAATGGTTTGCTACTGCCCGCCTCAAGCCAGGCAGCCCCTGGTCAAATTGGTGTAAACCCGCCAAAACTTACATGCGTCTGGCCGTGGTCGCAGGTGCGTATCCTACTAAGGTCGCGAAACATATATAAAACGTTCCAGAACCTCAAACGCTGCGTGTGACGGCCGTCAAGTAGATCTTAATCTGTCTCTGCAATCACATTCCCGAGCTGGATCTGCTCCCCACTGCATTGTGGGTCAGGCTATTGAGCCAAAGGCTCCAGGCGGAGTCCCTTAAGCAAACCTCCAAATCACGTACTGCCTTGTGGGTCAGGCTATTGAGCCAAAGGCTCCGGATGGAGTCCCTCAAGCAAACCTCCGAAGCACAACCGCCACCTCGCGTGCGATTGCCCACCAATGCAATCGTATGCCTGCGCGCAAAGCACTCAGCATCGGGTGCTGGAACGTGCGCACACTACTGGACCGGAACTCGAGTGAGCGCCCTGAGCGACACACAGCAATGGTCGCAATGGTACTGGCGCGCTACAACATCGATATTGCGACGCTCAGTGAAACCCGGCTCACTGAGCAAGGTAAGTTGCATGAAGCAGGTGCTGGCTACACATTCTACTGGGTGGGAAACGCCGCGTCAGCACCACGTGAACATGGGGTCGGATTTGCAATATCCGATCGCCTCCATGGTCTGCTGGTGGTGAACCATCGGGCATCAGCGCGCGACTGATGACTGTTCGCCTACAACTCGGAAGAGGTAAGTTTGCTACTTTAATAAGCACGTACGGTACGACCATGTGTTATCCTGAGGACACGCATGATCAATTCTACACTCAGCTATCCTCCGTGATACGGTCTGTGCCGAGGTGTGACCGACTATTTCTGCTGGGTGATTTCAACGCGCGCGTTGGGCGTGATGCATCAGCGTGGACAGATGTTATCGGTGCGCATGGCATTGGCTCAGCGAATGCGAACGGTGACAGGCTGCTCTCACTGTGTGCCACTCAGGGCCTGACGATCACGAACACTCGGTTTGCACTGAGTGCGAGTGATACAGCAACCTGGACGCACCCACGGAGTGGTCACGCTCACCTGCTCGACTATGTCATCGTACGTCAGCGTGATATGCGTGAAGTGCGCATGACACGTGCACTGCGTGGAGCTGAGTGTGGCACTGATCATAAGTTGGTGAGGACCAAAATGTACATATATTTTCGTAAATCTATGTATTGCACTCCCGCCGTGAATCGGCGTAAATTTAACATTATCTCCCTCGGTACTGGGGCGAAGCGTACTGAGCTGGAGAAGGCAATCGCTGCAAGTCTGTGTGATGTGGACTGCATAGCCACAGTGGGCGACCTGTGGCACCACATTCGCGATCAGGTGACAGCTGCTGCCAAGGAGACCATCGGGCGCGCAAACCGTAAGCGGCCTGATTGGTTTGATGGCAACAATGCGACGATCGGCGCATTGGTTTCGGAGAAGAATGCAGCATTGGTTGCACATGTTGCAGACCGCAGTGACGTGAAAAACTTCGACGGCGACTGACCCGAGAGCTCCGTCGCATTGAAAATGTATGGTGGACGGAGAAGGCGAAGCAGATGGAATGCTACGCCGAACACCGCCAACACAAGGAATTCTTTGACTCCTTGAAGTCGGTGTACGGACCGAGATTGGAGCCGTTGAGGATAATGATCGATGGTAGTTCAGGCGCTACCTGCACACAGACTGCAGATCTGGCGAAAACACTTTGACTGTCTCTTGAACAACCGTTCAGAGATCGACTGGCCTGCTTTGAACGACCTCAAGCAGCACGATGTGAAGGCGAATCTGGCGGACACGCCGACACTGGATGAGACGCAGAGAGCACTTGCTCAGCTGCGGGACGGCAAGTGTGCTGGGGCCGACGGGATCCCGCCTGAAGTATTGAAACACGGCGGACCCGTGTTGTTGACTGCGCTGCACCACTTGGTGCAACACGTATGGATTGAGGAGGAGGTGCTTCCTGAGCTGAAGGATGCCCTTGTGCTACCACTGTACAATGGCAAAGATAGCAAGCAATGTTACACGAATTATCGTGGTACCAACTTGCTGAGTTGTGTGGGAAAGGTGATTGCCCGAATCCTGCTCAACCGCCTCGTCAGTCAGGTTGTGGAACCTAACGTGGCGGAAGAGCAATGCGGATTCCGTTCGGGTCGCAGCACTACAGATATGGTGTTTGCGGCTCGTCAGTTGCCAGAGAAGTGCAAAGAACGACACCAGCCATTGTACTCGCTTTTTGTTGATTTCCCCAAGGCATTTGACACGGTGAACCGCGAGGCATTGTGGCTGGTGTTGGGTAAGTTTGGTTGCCCGCGTAAGTTTGTAAGTTTATTTGAATGTTTGCACAGTGGTATGCGAGCGAGGGTGCAGCTGAGTGGAGAGACCTCGGATGACTTTGCAATTGTCTCTGGTGTGAAGCAAGGCTGTGTCTTAGCTCCTGCCCTGTTTAATATATATCTTCATGCAATGTTGTCTTGTGCTTTTGATGCGGCTTGTGCTTACGGTGTTCGTGTGGAGCACCGTATTGATGGTGGGTTGCTGAACATCCGTCGTTTCGGTGCGAGAACTCTAGTCTGTGAGACAACTATCTGTATGTTGCTGTTTGCTGACGGCTGTGCGTTGTTTTCACACAGCGCGGATGAGTTGCAGCATATGACTAGTGCTCTGGCTTCGACAGCAGCCAAATTCGGGCTCACCATCAACACAAGCAAAACTGTCTGTCTCTTTCAGCCTTCACCGGAGGTGCAATCTTCAATATTGCCTCGAATTAGCGTTGGTGCTGAAGTATTAGAAAGCACCTCCAGTTTTTACTACCTTGGGAGCGTGATGTCGACTGATCAGCAGCTACACAGTGAGCTGCGTATCCACGTGTCGAAGGCAGCGGCGGCATTCGGGAAGCATGAGTACCGAGTGTGGAACAACCATCAGCTTACCATTGGCACGAAGCTGATGGTGCACAAATCCATGGTGCTGTCCCTTCTTCTATACGGCAGTGAAACGTGGACGATGTACCGTCTGGATGTGCGATATCTCGAGCGGTTCCATCAGCAGTGTCTGTGACAGATTTTACGCATCGGCTGGGACGACAGAGTTGCAGACACGGAAGTGTTGCGCCGAAGTGGGATGTATGCAGTGGACTGCATACTTTTATTAAGACACCTGAGGTGGATCGGTCATGTGAGCCGTATGGATTCGACGCGGATACCGAAGCAGCTATTATATGGTCAGCTATGTACTGGGAAGCGGCACGTGGGGAAACCAAAGTTACGTTACTAGGACATGGTTAATGTGAGCCTCACACGTTCTAATTTTGATTGCAGATCATAGGAATCGAACCGAACCACCTAGCTGACATCACAGGTTGTTCGGATAGCCCCTAGAATTGGAGCAACTTGTGCACACGCCCTATTTGAAGATAAGGACGACTATGAACTCACTTAACTTTTGCCCAAACTTCTGAGAACAAAGCGATGAGTTCCGTACCAGTGCAGACAATGCACGTCGCGGGAGTCGATGTGCTGGCATGCGCAACACGTGGCCCAAACATCGGGGCCTGGTGCGTGATATAATTGTGCTGAGCAGTTCACTCACTCTTCCTGTATCAAATACGCGACGCCGAAACTGCTCATTACTCACGCGATGCTCCCACGAGACATGAGCTAGGCTACGAAGGCAGCGATGATCGAATGTGACGAGCCTCTTTATGTCTGTCGACCTGATGAGCCAGGTTTCACAACCGTACAGAAGGGTTGAACGGACGGCTGCATTACAAACTTTGCCCTTCAGGGCAAGAGTAATGTCGCGTCTGCACCACAGTTGGAGGAGATTGGCAAAAGCACCCCGAGCTTTTGCTATACGGTTCGTAACCACATGTTCGATTTCACGAGTGCTAATATAGCTGCCCAGGTACTTGAGTTCCTGAACGACTTCTAGCTGATCGCCACCAAGGGTCAGTGCAGGGATGGGTCCCTGCCATTTCGATGGAGCAAAAGCATAACCCAAAGCCCAGCAGTGCTAATCGGTCAAGTGCTGCTTGCATCTTTGGGAGCTGTCACAGATTAAGATACTATCGTCCGCGTACTCCAAGTCAAGAAGTCGCTCACCAGGAAGAAGCTCCACCCTTTCGAGATCGTGTCCAACGAACGCTGTTTTATTGACTTCCTCAATAGCGAAGTTGAAGAGGAATGGTGACAGCGGGCAACCTTGTCACACACCGATGGTGATCCTGAAGGGTGGCGACAGTTTACCATAAGCCCAAACTATGCGCGTACAGCGCTTTGATAATGTTCACGTATTTATGGAGTACAACTTTTCTCAGCAGACAGGCCCAAAAGGCACATCGATCGACCGAGTCGAAGGCAATTTTAAGTCAAGAAACACGATTACGGTGGGTCGCCAATAAACATGGTGGTGCTCCAACAATTGACGCAAGGTGAAGATGCGGTCGATGCAGCCTCGACCTCGACGAAACCAGGTTTGCTCTTCGCAAATCTGGCTTTCACGAGTGTCAGTCATCTACTGGGGCAGGTTCCCGAAGTTGAAGAGAGCTGGGGGAATTCTATATGACCCTGCGGCCTTATGCAATTTGAACAGCCTGATCTCACGTTCGACTTTTGCGCGTGAGGGCGGATCCAAAGAGACGGCCCATGGAGAAGGGCGCTCAATGCCCGAAGAATAAAGCGATAACTCAGGTTGGTTAAATTTCCTTGCAAAGTGTTTGGCCCAACGCTCCAAGCGTTTTGACAAGCTGTGGATCATCTGCCCACTCTTGTCGCGTATGGTCTCGCTAACACCAGGTTTCCTGACATCTGTTTCCCGTATCAGACGGAATAACTTATGATGATTACCAACGGCAGCGGCTCTTTCCATATCTGAGGAACGAAGAGACCAGCGGGCTTTGCAGTCTTTCTTCAGACTAGCATGTAGTTTTGCCGTGAGATTTTTGCGAGCCTCATTGTATTCGCTTCCAGCCAAAATACGTCGGTAAGCATCCATAAGTTCCAGAGACTGTGTAGAGACCCAATGTTCAGTTTGGTAATTTGATTTGCCACATGAAGACATGCCTGCTGATAGTAACGTTTGACGAATATGCGACCAGTGATCATCGACGGTGTTCAGTGGGCGCTTACTCAGCCCAGATGTCAGCGCAATTTGACACACATTCAGAACACCTGGTTCCGCCATCTAGCAGGTGTCAATCCGTTCACATCGACGTTGTGGACGTCCACCGAAAAGCATCCGGAGGTCGGCGCAGACAAGTGCTTGGTCAGGGTCCACGCTCGTGCTCCAAATCAAGCGACAGTTTTGGACACAGCCTGTCCAGTGGTAACTGATCGTGATATGATCAATTTGCGTCCATGGCTGGCCCGAGACTAGTGTGTGCCAAGTCATGCTTCTGCGGGGTGCTGTGTCGAAAGTTTGTGCTCGCGAGAAAGAGGCGAGCATCGTCACATAGCTGTAACAATCGCTCACGGTTATCATTACGGAAGCGTACATCATGTTAGCCGCCCAGATGAAGCTGATCAAAGGACAATTTTCCGACTTAAGCGTTTAGACCGCCAGCAAATACCACAGTAACCGTGCTTCTTCTGTAACGAATAAGCTCGTTAAGTTGCTGATAGAATCAGTGCTACAGTTCATGGAAGCGTAGGCTGCAATGACAAACGGGCACCGTTTGTTTCTGCGCGAATTCGTAGCATGGAACGAACCAGCTAACCTAACGGCGCACATCTGGTTGTTGACTGGGATCCAATCGATCAGGGTAGCTTCAGCCCGGGGATTCAAAACAATGACGACGCCAGCTTGACCGGCATTTGAAGCTGCATCATGGCCAGACAGGCGCAATGAGAATCTGCCGCCAGTGTCGCACGTGGGTGACTCGGATGAGGTGGAAAAGTGTTCTGGTATTACCAGAGAGATTAGCAAGTTCCATCTCTCCAGCACGTTAACAACACCAGGTCTCACGGTCCTTCGGTAAACTCCTAGGCAACGCTCGATCCTCGGACCTTTGTTCCTCACTCTAGCTGGTGTCGGCTGGGATCAAGCGGTATCTGTCTAGCAGCGACAAGTAGGCCGTGGTGATCCAGCTTTTCGGATGGTGACAAACAACTCCACATCTGACAGTATTGGCAGTAATGAAGGCGTCTTTGATGCGCATCCACTGCGAATTCAGACCATCATAAGAAGACGAAGCAAGCAGCGTTGACAGAGAAGCCTGGTACTTGGCTAACGTTGCAGGACGTTGCAGATTTTCGACGTGCGATCGGTAGTGCGTACGTCTGGGTGATCCTCCGAAACGCATTCAGATCTTGGCGCGAACCAGTGCGTGATCGGAGTCCAGACAAGTTGACCAGTACGATCGACAGTCTGTTACGCTTTCGCGTCATCAGTTGCTTATCGCTGTTTGCTCAAGCTGAGAGTACTCTTGAGTTTGAGAAGGCGGACGGCATGTAACAGTCTGTTTTTTGAATGCCGAAAACTGGTGCTCGAAAGAAACAAGCTATGATCAGAACAGAGTCAGTAGCCTGTATCCATAGTCTGGTCGACTGCTATCGAGACCAAAACTACTGCCAAGATGGTGCTAGCTTTGTGGTAGGCGGCCCACTCGTGCATTGAAATCTCCGGCAAGAATGACAATGTCGGACGTTTATGAGGAACGCAGAAGGTCATGCAGTTGTTGGTAAAAGCAACCCTTGACTGCATCCGGGCTTCAGTCTGCAGGATCGTAAGCGGAGATGACAAACCAGGCATGCGTAACATCTCGACACTTACTTAACTTACATGAACCTCGTAGTCTGACTGCGCTTAGCCGACTGTTGTCTGGGATCCAGTCAAGCAAAGCTGCCTCAGCCCTGTCACTTAGTGCAATCCCAACACCAGCTTGATCAGAAACAGCGGCCTCTGTGTCTCCGGAAAGGCGCAAGTGGTAATTAACGCCAAAGTTTGCCGGAGAAGTTGTTGCGATGACGGTACTGGCGTCTTGCAACCTGGTTTCAGAAAAGCAACAGATATCCACCGAGAGTGTCTCAAGCGTGCGGGCCAGGCATGCTTGTCGTCCGATCTGCATCAGAGTGCGCACATTGAACGCTGCAAAGCCGAATGGAGAACCAGGTCGAAGGAAAGCTTGGGCTTCGGTGGGGTGTGAGAATGTTGTTACGACCGGACAACGAACATCAAAAGTTTAGCTCAGAACTCTGTCAGGTGCGACCAGTCAACTGTTGTTGACGGTGATCGGGGAAAACGTGGGTGTAGTTTGGGTATGAAACGTGGGATGATCTGATCTGTGAGCGATAGAAAAGTTAATGTGTTCATTTGGAAGGACAGAAATTATGGATAAACACATTCTGACGCACAAGTCCAGGATACGCAGATTTGTCATGCAATGAAAGAATAACTAAGTGTCGAGAGTAGTGTACGATTAACACCAACTGAGCATCTTCAATACTTGAGGTGGCTTCCAAAGGGGTAAGCCAGAAGGTAGGCTGCAACAGCAGTCTAAAAACTCAATAATGCAAGCGACGCATACTATCTTCATGAAAACGACGGTATCGAGAGCAGAAGAGTGGCGGCTTGTTAGAATCAAATAGGAGTCGAAAACCCCTATCGCCCTCAGCTAGGTTGACAAATTGATGATAACGGGGAACTGGCAGATGAAGATGGGGCCAGTGGATTTAACCCGTCCGGTAACGATCGATGAACTGATTGAAACAAGTAGGAAATCGCTGAGACTTACCGGCTGCAGACCAAGACTTTCCTTATCTCCGATTCCCATGCTCTAGAAAGGACAAACACGGTACACTGTTATGGAGAAGCCGTTTGAGCAAGGTTATGGTACAGAAACAACGTTAATCGTTCGAGAAGGGTAGCGTTGTGTCAAGTAATTAGTCAAATCACCAAAGTCATAACTTTAAGAGTACAATGGTGCAATTCATTACTCAGTGCAAGAGAACAAGGTTGAGCAGAAGCAGTAATGAAGCGCATTGACAATGCAGCCAACAGACACCATCATAGTAGTAAGCCGAGTGCAACATGAAATGCTATGAGTAAACCTAGCCTAAATCCTACAAACCAAGAGGAGGGCAGCAAACGAAAGCGGTCCAAAACGACTCTAATATGAGGGTTACCAGACCGAATGATAAAAAAGGGAATACTAAAATATAAGTGGGGTAATGAAATGTCTCAACGTATATGTATTGGTGATACTGGGATTCGATCCTCCTTCGAATAGTGGTGATTCCGTATGCATGAGAAAATTTGGCACATGTCCAATAGTTGCGATTAAGAGCAGGGTTAGTCAAATACGGATATCACAGTCTCTTGGGGTGATGTTTCATGTGACAGCAATAAGGAGTTTATGAAACCGCTGTCTTGACGGTACGAGAGAACAATAGCTCAATGGGATTTATTTAAGAGCGATGATAGCCACGAAGATGGGCACCATTAGAGTTCAAAAGGTAGTCGAAAGACATGCCCACATGGTGTTCGTCACCTATCGCACTTCCGGTAACACGCATAGCGGCAATAGAGATGCAAATGGCTAAACAAGTAGGGCCCAGTGGTATGAACTATTGTTGCTTCACATAAGGCATAAAAATTAGCGGCTACCAAAAGCCAATCCACGAGTACGGAACCGAGTAACAGTAGAGAAACATGTTTGGATAGGCGATTAGACGTCCATCAGTCCACTAAATGTTAAAGAACCTGTAGTGTGACAAGGTAAGGCACAACCGCAAGCATGTAAGGTATGTGAGTCCGGAGGGGATAACTAGAAAGATATAAGTGGGAGTTCACTATGAAAAGTAGGTCTTGACGATCAGTATCTGAGTCAAAGAAGAAATAAAGGTCAATCTTGATCGGTTATCTAACCGCAACTTAGCCACCCGCACTGTTGCCGTTGCCCCCATTTTTGCGGCAAGGTGCAACACGTGTATGCGGTGGTCGTGAACCTCATACAGCGTTGAAGGTGAATTGAGGAGTGACATGCACCAAACCGATGAGCTACCTAAGATATCTGTGGTCAAACGTTTATAAGCTATTAAATTGCATTTACCGTTTAAAAGAGATGAGGAAGTTGCCGAGCGCGCGTCCGGAAGGAATGTCAAAACAATGTCGAACAGCAGAACGTAATGGACGGGAAATATCAACACGGAACAGCTCAAGGGGAGGGGAATGGTGGCATTACGCTGGCTGTTCAACTAGTGCCTGCAACGGTCTTAGACGCCGTACCCATCACATGGGAATGCAGTTCATGCTTCCTAGACAAATATGAAATCTTAATCTAAGAAGCCATGGACGATGGTGCTAAACCGTCTTCACTGATCATTAGCTGCATTCCAGTGCGGCTCATTATCCTTGCACGCTGCTGCCGTCCGCAGAGTAGCAATTGCCACAGGAGCAAGATGCAAGCTGTTGAAGAGTCTCAGGAAACGTTCACACAGCACTAAACTGAATGCGTAGTGGTTTTCTAATTGAGCCAAACTGCGAGGAACCCCCTCTCAAAATAGCCATACAATTGAGCAGAAGTGGAACTCATGGAGTCATTCGGCAGACGATAAAAAGGATTCCTCAACTCAATGGCGCATATCGCTTGGAGGAGCTGAATAGCCGTCGGCCGTCACATCACGCGCCAACTGAGACGTGAGTGCTGAGCGCGATCGAAAGTCCAAGTCCTAGGATAAGCGCGGAATAAAAACCAGAAAAGGGGTTAGACAAAGTTGGCGGAATAAACTATTTGCTTGAAGCACGATAAACATTCTCGCTTGGTGACAAGCGTTCCATGCAACTCGGAAGACGCGATGAGTTATTTTCCGACTTCCAAACAGTCTTACACCGGAACACCATAGCCTAAAACTGCGAGAATGCGATTTCGCTAAGCATAACCCGAATGATGAAATATGTTTGCGGTTGGGCTGTTCGCTGAGCTTAGCAATTTTGTTGCAGACATTTCATCACAAATCGAGATGAGAGCATCAGTGCGCTGTGGTGTAGCGTGTAGTAACGTAGCGTAGGGAAGCCTCTCACTGACGCTTCCCCACGCCTGTAACATCTACAAGAAAATTGCCAAGCTCAACCAACAATTCAGCCGTAATCTGAACAAACTGAGTTACCAGTTTTCGTTTCTATATCCGACGAAATGTTTGATCGATTGCTGTGAAACTAGGATGACCAACGTGACGTTAACAAAACATTAAAATAATAGCACAAAAGCAGTTTATGGATAGAAACTGATGGGGAGAAGTGAATAAACAACACTGGTAGCATCGCATCCTAACTAAGCAGAAAGTGGTCATTTAGCAAAACGTGATGAGCAGTAAAGTAGTGATATCCACATCGTATGGTGCGCAAGAGAGAGAGAGTGAAAAAGGCCACAAGAGTGGAATCACACGGGAACCGGTTCAAGAACAATTATTCATATGCAGAAGTAGAGCAAGTGGGATGAAAGTTAACAAGCACAAGGACTTACCTCTGCTAACGCAAGAAATTCGGTAACTTTAGCGAGAAGATCGGGAAAAGCATGATATAGATCTAGACCAAGTCGGCATTCTTTGCGTTTGAGAGTGAAGTACTTTTCTATTAAGTGCAAAAAAAGAACCACGAAGTAAATTAGTTGTTGTTGGTCATGCCCATAAGTAAACAACGAAATGTCGTGCTGCAAGCAGAAATATGAGAGGAATTGTGTACACAAACGGGTGAGGAACAACAGAACAGACACATATGTAGCGTTCGAAGTGCATAGGAAATCGAACCGAAGTTGGTCGACGTTAGTTAGTTAAAATATGGATACTCAGTCGAGCCAGCCTAGTGATCGCAGCTAGGGTCTTCATGGTAGTAAAACCGATGGTAATGAAACAAAAAGAATCATCCAGTAGTAAGTGGTTACGAAAGAACTGTAAAATGGTTAAATCGAGAAACAATTTGTTGGGTAACGACTAATGAAGATGGGTCATGGGTAACTCATCCATGCAACTACGGTGAGTAGCCCAAATCGACAGGGACAATTTGACGACCTGCGAGCAGGATGACCGTAGTTCAAGACACATTGAAAGTCATCGAGTTGTGATTAAAAATCTTGACCCATTGGGTTCACTAGAGACAATGGAGCTAAACTGAAGTAGGCGGTGGGTTGATAAGTGAACATAGCGGTGCTACTAACACAGTGCGATCGAGTCAAACAATCTAGCGTGCGCCAGAGAAATTATTGATACATTCCAGCTGGCAGACCCAGCTTCATTCAGCTGGAAGTAACACTGTATGTGAGCAGTGTGCCGTGGGTGAGCAACAGCCATGGATCATCTCTTGTACACAGAACAGTCTCAGTCGCACAATGCTAGTATGCAGATTGAACGACAGTCTAACACTTTAGAAAATGTACAGCTGGTTGCGTGGACCAAGAAACAGATTTTGGCGATTAGACTACCAGAAACAGTGGAGGCATACAGAGAAGAGAACCAATTGTCCACGTAAAACAGCTCTTAGAGAATCATTAGGACAATCGGTACCCTACGTTTGGACTAGCAGTGGCACCTAGCTTCTTGGAGCAGCAGAATAGGGGGTCGTAATGGCGAGAAACACCTATAAGCGCTGAATGGCCTATCAGTTGTGCACCAAGGAGTGTCAAACAAATGTAGGAGAAAGAGATAAAAGGAAGTCCGATGCCTAAGGTAATTCGCGACGGAATCTTAAAGAAACCAACAGTCAGTGGTGGAGCACAGACAACAACTACAACCCCATCATTCATAGTGCAAAAATTACAGAAATCCGTAACTCCATTTTATTATCGAAAAATCCATTTAGCAACCTGTCAACTTGTGACACAAGAACTGGAAATTAATTGCTCTAATGCGGCCGAGTCAAAAAGGGGTAACTCGTGTAGTACAGGCATCAGCAGTACGCCGGTACACAGTACCGACGTTTCGCTACCGCGCAACCACCACCGGTCGCACGGGAGCTAGGGATACGGCGAGCGTCGCCCTGCCCCTACGCAGGCTTGAACTCGTGCCGCAAGACTACAAGACATGCTCGTTACCTTTAGGCTACGGGCCGAGTGTACATTAGTATTACTATTGTTGTCATTATTATGGTGTTATAGCCCAAGATGTCGGGTAGAGCGGTTCCCACGAGGCCGCGTTGGATTCTGCGGAACCGTGGACATCAGAAGCTCCGTCTATGCCGGCAGTCGATTGCGAGCACCGAGATAAAAATCGATGGCACTTACTGCACACCTTAAAAGCCGTGACGTTGTCTCGTATCACATCAGCAAGATGACTAAGAGGAAAAAGCGAGTGCAGCCCAGTCTGAATAAGAGGAATGGCTAATGTAGAAAAGGAGCTAGTGGGATGTCAACTACAAGAAGATTAGGCCACAAAAATTAGGTGATCAAAAGCGTGGTTTGATTTCGACAAGTAGAAAATAAGCAAGCAGTCGAAAAATCGAGTGAAAGTCCAGCAGTGTATATTTTGTGGCAGAACGCGACCATACACCCGCAACAGCGGAGTAGACTAGGAAACGAACGAAGTTGGCTGATTTCGAATGGAGACAGCATTTCTACTGTCAAGGGGTTTGGGCTGACCAACTATTCATACGTGATTTCGTTTGCTTCCAAATCGTTCTCAGGTTTGGGTTGTCTGATCACATTCAGTAATTCGGGTTGGTAAGCAGGTATTTTTCGTCTGTAGCACAGGAATAAATCCGAACGACTCCTTCGATGCACCAAGGTTACGCTAGCATACCGAAAAACAGTTAACTTTACGAGGCCCCCAGTTTCGAGTAATTTATTGGACATAACGAAAAGCGCAACAAGAACCTGGTATCAAAAGAACGCCAAGCGATGCTTTGTGGAAAAAGATGCCAAGTACCGTATATTACCAAATATAAGCACAGGAATTTTTGACAATTGTTGGCTTTTGTAGAGGGAGGGTCGGATTATACAAAGGTTATACGCGAATTGAAAAAGTTCACATGCAAAAGCCATCAATGAATTCACTGCATACCTCTTCTCTTATCTCCCATTAGCACCACCCGCTAGTGACGGACAGTATTTCAGATAGGGATCTTAACTGCCTATAACTGGACACGTTACTTTTGTGTAAAAAGATTCTCGGTAGATTGCACATCTGACGTTCGCGACGGATAACCATAGCGAATCAAAAGCCCTTGAACATTATGTTATGCCAGGCGACCTGGTGCATTAAAAGTACATCATCCCACACCCCTGACCATGAAGTTTGCTCTACTGTGGTTCATATGCATGAGGCCCCCGATTATGCGAGACGGCCTGTCGGACACGCTCTCACCTTACTATCTATTGTCGGCTGTCTTACCTGTTTCATGTGGATTGACGTCTGGTCAATACAATACCTGGTGCGGTGAAAGTTTGTTCTAACGGCCCTACGCCCCATTAACCGCGATTATAACATTACGGTCACTACAACTGACCAATAGTAAAGCAGGTTTCACTTGAACTCACTCAAGTGAAAGCAAGTATTGATGACGTCGAAATTATGGAGAAACAATTACGTTGCTCTTTGGCTGATGTTTTAGGGTTCGGCTAATACGACTCTGGAGAAATTTGATGTTGTTAAGTCATAGTGTCGACTTATCTATGGATGGTCTTATATGCGGTAATATATGATACATCAAAAATGTCGCGAATGACGAGCCAGGGAAATAGAATACTGTCGACACCTAGTAAAAACGAGCTTAATGCGAAAGTCCCTCAAGCGACAGTGTTGATGAACGGGATGGAGGAACGTAGAGCCGACAAGGGTCCACTGCACAGAGTCTACAAATAACTCAAGATCGTAACTTTATCTTCCATGCTCTAATGGTCAAACAAGAGAAAACTTGCCAATCAGATTGATCATGCCCTCATTGTATGAGGCAAACAGACGAATCAAATCCTTGTACATAAGCAGGAAAGCAGCGTTGATGATGGCATTGTTTAGGTCCTTTTCGTGTGCCTATGTAGATATAAATAGAATGGCATGAGGAAGCAAGATCCGAAGAGTGGTTAGTAGGAGGTAATCAGAGCAAAATGGAAGCATTTGCACAATTGAGCTGTGGACACTGAAGTGCTCGCTACGTGGAGTTCAGTCACTTCGTAGAAAGTAGTCCCGAAATGTGGACGAACGACAAGCACTCCGGGTGAATGCAATCACGTATATGGGTAGACAACCCGCAATATCTAGACGGTACTCTTATGAGCGCAAAGTAGCCTGAAATAGCTGGTCAGACAAAAGCCAAGTGACAATGAAGAGAAAATGAGCGAACCATGCAAGTTGAGTGAAGTAGCGTCCATTTACGGACAGCCCAGAACCAGGCTACTGTATCATGAATTCGCTTGGATCATGGAATTGTTCGCTGCCGGATACACAAGCACGAATAAATAACCAGGTACAGAGGTCTAACCATTTACATTCACACGCTGATGAATGGCAAACTACAAGTGATCAAAAGAGCGCAAGCATTGCATTCCCACTAACAGTTATCAGGAACACTCTCATACTTAGTGGGTTAGTAAACCGGAAACGGCCGTCCTGCGTATTCTCGGATGTACGGTGGCTAATTGTGGCTGATGGTGAAGAATCGTCACGCTAACAAAGCTAAATACCTCTTCCCATATTCTGTAAATAACTAATAAAGTAGCCTAAAATGCTACTGGGCAGTGAAGAGAGCGATGGAGTCATATCTCCGGAGGTCAGCCATGTCCTCCGCGCGGTGAAAACGCACATCCCGGCAGCGGACGATCGGTGCCATAGCATATATAGTTAGTTGACGATAGCGATTGCCACCAGCCCCGGGAAACCTAGTGATCTTAGTCACTACTTAAAAAGAGGGTGATCGAGTGCTTTATTTCCCCAGTGGGCTCACCGATGCGTATCAAAAGGGCGAAACGGTCGCCCAGTGCCATTCTGGATTTGTCGTGACTGTCTTATTGAGTGAGGCTCTGATATCCATTGGATATAACCTAAAACACACATACACTGATCCACAAAGTGATTCCCATTGGGAGTGTAGCTGTGGGCATATGGGGAATGAGAACGTGGATCAAAATAAGGCCAAAAGTTTGCATATTCGACTTACATCGAACTGTAACAGAACGGACAGCTGCTCAGACAAGACTGGGAGAGCCTTCAGTAACTGGAAGAGTGGAAATGTGAGACACTAGATTTAGTAATAAGTAGCATATATGCTCAAACTTGCTTACTGGACATCACCGAATGTTACAACACAGAAGAGGCACGACACTTGGTTACCTTATCAACGGGCATGGTACGAAGAACTCCATCATCTCGCCTAACAAGAACATTGTAAGAGCAAATTCAAGTTGAAGTCAAAAAAGGTAAAAAGGAAATTAATTGACATTTCCAAACAGTAAAACGTGAGTATTACAATAGCAGATCATATTAATGAACGCAAAGGCAGATCGCAGTCTTCCTTGTACAGCCAGGAATACAGCACTCAGATTCCGATCCACTAATTTAATGCAAAATTGGGTGAAATGCAAACATGAAAAGGGAGTTTTTTGTATAAACTTTCTATTCTCTATACAAAGTGTGCAGAAAGGCCTAGTCTTTACATACTGATTATTGTATGTCTGTTTTAGAAGTAGAAAAACGCTATTAGCGCAGCTGAGTGTTGTTGATCAGGTGAGCCTAATTGAGCGCTGTGTGAAATTTATCATTATTCCTGGCGGCAAAACAACAAATTTCGTGATTTCAAATCAAGGCACACAAGATGTTTATATAGCTCACGGGAAAACGACTGACGGCAACCGCTCCGTTATAGTCCCAATATTCAAGGGAAATAATAAAATAAATAAGGTGTCAGCTGCACGCCGTAACGGCGTTTCGCGGCAGCGCGATCACCACCAGTTTCGCGCAGGCCCAGTATACCACGAGGAAGCCCACCCCAACGCGGATTCGAACCAGGGACCGTATGGTTGCAAACCATGCGTGCAGACAACTCGGCCACCAGCCGAAATTCAAGGGAAGCTCACGTTCCAAATGCGTCAAACACAGAGGGATCGCTCTGATCCGCATCGCATCCAAACTGTTTGCCTCTATCATCATTCACAGACTGACAGCAACTCGTAAAGAGCAAGCTGGGTTTCGTCGAGATCATGGCTGCATCGATCACATGTTCACTTCGCATCAATTGTTGGAGCACCGTCATATATATCGGCGGACTACTGTAGTCGTGTTCTTTGACATCAAACGTGCCTTCGATTCGGTGGATCGATGTGCCCTTTGGGACTGTCTACTCAGAAAAGGTGTGCCCGAGTAATAGGTAAACATGCGGGTATTATACGCGGGTAGCTCGGACAGAGTGATGGCTTACGGCCAGCTGCCGCCACGCTTCAATATGTCCAGCGGTGTTAGACAAGGATGCCCGCTATCATCTTTCCCCTCCAACTTCGCCAATGAGGAAGTCATGGAGATCGCGTTCATTGGACGACTTAGGAGGTTTGGAGATGCTTTCAGGTGAACAACTTCTTGACTTAGAGTATACTGACGATATTGCCCTCATCTGTGACAGCTTACCAATGTGTCAAGCTGTACTGAACAAAATAGTAATGAGTGTCGGCCGTTTCAAGCTTTGCTTTGAACTCTCGAATTGCAAAGCTTTCCTCCAAGACTGGCCCGGACCGCCTGCCGCGCTGACCTTTGGTGAGGAACAGTTAGAAGTCGTTCAAAAATTTAACTGCATGGGTGGTTGTATCAGCGCTTGTGGAATAAAAGGCGAAGTCACAAACCGCATAGCAAAAGTTCGTGGCGCTTTTGTTAACATTCGCCAGCTATGGCGCCGGCGCGACATCCCTCTCTCCTTAAAGGGTAGTGTACAATGCAGCCGTATGTTCGACCCTTCTGTAAGGTTGTGAAACCCGGCCCATTAGATCGGCAGATTTAAATGGCTCGTTACATTCGAACACCAGTTACTTCGCACTTTGACGCATTTCTGGTGGGAACACCGTGTGAGCAATGAGCGTGCTCGACGCCTTGTTTATGACACAGGAAGAGAAAGTGAACTGCCCAGCATCGTTATATCACGCACCAGGCCCCGATGGCTGGGCCACGTGGTACGCATGAAGGCATGCCGACTCCCGCGACGTGCGTCGTTTGCACGCCGGGTGTGTGAATGGAAGAAGAGGTGGGTGACCAAGCGATAACTTAATCAAGAGGAATGAAAGCCCTTAGTTCGAAGTTGCCTTCGGTTGGAGCGTCTCGGCTCCCTGGTTGGCGTCCGAAAGACGATGAACAGGTTCGGCTGGATACACCTGTTGACATGGCAAGGCGCCGACCTCAGTGGCGATTGTGTTGTGAGTTTCTATGTCCCTCGCCCTCCCGCTTAACCTCTACTTCCAATCACGATCGCATTCCTTAGGCATAGTATTACCCTATTTTGCAGCACCATAGCCAGCTGATAGTTCTCCGAACGATGCCCATCCGTTATTGTTAGCTCAGGTGGCGTACCTCTGTTACATGTGTTTTTACTTACGAGGAGAAGGATTTTGGCGAGTATTTTGAGTTCGTCGCAAGCAGCCGACAATTCAGCTAAATCAACTACCATTCCAAGAAAGTACCATCAGTGGTGCGCATCTTTCGGTCCCCTTCCGAGAATGCTTTCTTGGAATGGTAGTTGATTTATCTGAATTGCAGGCTGATTGCTACGAACTCAAAATACATGTATTTTTTTTCCTTTTTTCATGTATTGCGACACAACAGTTGAGATGTGTTCCACCTCTAGCTAACGTGTATAATAATGATGATGAGCCGAACGCACATTTGAAGTCGATGAGCACAGCTAGTGTCGGTCTGCGGTACGAGTGACGCTGTTCTAAAACCTGCCACAGAATGAATATATGGTCCATAAAGTCTCGTCCAGGGCAGGAATCTGTGTGCTCATAAGCTGGGATACCCGATCTGCAGTGAGACGACGAATGAGATTTGAGACACGTTTTCCACTACCGGTGTTAGACAAACACCCATACGGTTAACAATGAGTGACAAAATTCGCTTAGAAGGTTCGAGACACGCGTTTCCAACGGAATCAAATCAAGAACAAAACTGGAGCTGGATAACGACACCATTAACAACCAAATAAGTAAGCATTAAGAATGCATACCTCAACAATGACTCTTTCAACTCCCGTTAGCTACAGTGGCAAATATTCTAGCACGATGGCTAACAAGCTAGACTTTAGAGTGACTGGGTATGAAGTAACGGAACAACAAGTCACAAGGTTCTTTAAGAGCTAAGGGAAATAATGGGATTGGTTGATTGCATGAACAGAACGAGGACTGAGAGAACGCTGAAGTGGAGCGAGTTCGGCATGTGCGGAACATTCAGCAATGGAGTCACAAATGCACTGGTACAGATGACTGGGTAGACAGATAATCTCGATCGATGCGGGAGATGGGTCAACTTACAAAAACTGGTGTGGAGCAAGGGTGTAGCAGGGGGTCATCGAAAGGTGAAATGAACTGTACATGAAGTTCAAGAGAAATTGCATGCAAGGCGAAGGATGGAAAGGAGGTTTAAAGATAGGGTTTGGTGATTAGGATAATAGCATCAGTGGGATAAAGCATCAGTAGCAGTCTGTTTTCGTATATCTACTCTGTTGTATGCATCAGGTAAGGCGATCATTTTAAAGCTGCGCGAGGGTCGATGCAGGATGCAAGTGTAGGTTGATGGAAGAACAATGGTTGTGAGTTGGAATACTTTTTGGGCGCTCATATATAGTTAGTCGAATGAATAGGGTATTTAAGCAAAGCCTCGCCAGAAAATCTGACTGCAAGGCAGCAGGAAGTAGATAACGATCCAATACTACAAAAATGGACGCAAGCTTCGTTTCAACCGCAATTTGGAAACCTACTTCGCTTGACATATAATCATTGGCTAATTTGCATTCTGAATAAATGGGTTATAATCACAAAGAACTTGGTAAAATTAGCTAATAATTAAGTAGACAGATGAACAAAGATCCACGGCTAGCGGCGGAACTTACCCACGTTTCACCTTGCAAAAGTCGAATGCGATAGCTCGATAGGAAGCAGTTTTCTCACTGATGTAGCGCGAATAATTTCGAATGAAAAGTGACATCTCATACGCTGTGGAATCGATAAAACACAAGAGAAACGTACCTTGCGCACTGGATTTGTCATTAAAATTAGGTAAGTTAACTGGTGTGCAATTGGACGCCAGATAGTAAGAGAATTTCTATAATGTGATCAATCCACAAGATGAACAACCTCATTTCCGAAATTCATCAAGTTGTGAGTGGTGATCAAAGCTTTAAAGACAATAACCCATGATTTTTCTTGCATGCGCTCAACCAACAAGCCGGCCAGCAGTGGTATTGAAACATTTGGCTCGTTGCTGCAAGTAATAAGGTCTAAAAAGTGATGAAGAAACAAGTGAATTACAGTCAAGATGTTTCTTCTTTGGGGCGCCGATTTCTTCTGTGGTTGCCTTTGCAACAACTTTACCGAGTCCGGAACCCGCTAGACTAAACTTTGCTTGAGTGACGCGATCCATAAGGCTTTGACCTGTACCGCTTCCAGCCAACTGCTTGACGACCTTAGTAGCCGCTTTCGCAGACATTTTGTGGTATGCGTCGGGTCCCGTAATCCGAGTTCCGCTGTTTCCAGTGTGTTATAGTACGTAGTACAAAAACTGTGTGGCTAAAATGCAAAATGGATACGTGGAAACAGTAGTCATTAAAATCGCAAGCATTTAATAAGAGACCAAGTTAAATGGAAGATGCGACAGGTCAATTGAATGGTGTCTTCACAAACTGTGCAGATAGGGAACTTCTGTGTCATCCCTCTGAGGACTTTTCCATCAAAAATTGAGCGAAGGCGACAGAAACAATAACATTTACGGGTTTGGAATGCCGTAAAGAAATCACTTTCCGCTCTAAGGCCGTGCAATACATACTATGTGATGTTTGGCTTCACACCGCTTGCTGCAACACCGAAGACGGCTTATATTAACTCCTTCAGCGGACAATTTTCTCGACTGTGCTTTATCTGTGACAAGGTGCCAAGTCGCAGGGAACAGCAAGCGCCACGTGACTGGTTCGTTCATACCCAACCCTATTACCATGTCTGTGGTCCACGCATGGGAAACAATATCGGCTTCCTTCCGCACCTGTCGCGGCCTGATCAACGGCCCCGAAGATTAATCGTATTCGAGACACCTCCGCCTCTTCTTCAAAGCGTCTGCTACCAAAAGAACTTAGTACCCAAATTAAAAAAATAAAATGTATGCCTCCGTCGTGCGCTAGAGAGTGACATCAGCGCCAGCTACGCTGAACACAGCTGTCTGCAAGGATAAAACGTGAAGCCTACGACTCAGCAGGACTCTTCACGCTCACATCTGAAACCAGTCCAGGACACGAAGAGGACAAACGCCGAAGCTGACTGGTTCTGGAGGAATTAGACCACATCCCGTGAGCGCTGCCTGAGTATTGTCAATACCTCATAATCTGATAAGGAATTGCCAGCGGAAAATAGTGGGCGACTAAGCATTTAAACGACGCATATTCACCTTAATGTTCGATGATGGAGAACCAGAAATGAACATTATTTCCGCCTTTCGTCTTGGTAGAAAACAGGGAGGATCTTCTAAGCTTCGGCTCCTTAAAATGCGCATCCGTGATAAGGTTGAATGCTGCCGCATCCCAAGGCGAACCTCAAGACCTAAAGACAAACGTTCTGTGTTATGAGAGATCTTTGCCCTGAGAATCATGTTAAAATGAACATAGCTGCCAATTATCTAATAACTCGACAAGCAGACGGTGAAACCAATAGTTAGGTTGTGCATATTTGTGTGGTACAGAAAATCCCGAGAGTGCACTGGAGGTCCATTCTAGTCCTGTCCAGATTGTAGGATCAAGGTGAACACCTGGACTGCGCGTGAAGACTGCCAATGTCCGTAGCATCCACAAAGGAAATCTTTTTCCTTATTTCAGAACTATGTCCAGACCCGATGGTCTTCACTGAGACCTGGCAATCTCCGGATATTCCTGATGGCAAGGTCCATATCCTGGGATATCAACTTTCTCGAGCTGACTGCTATAGGATGAAGATCGGGGGCGGCACAATCCTCCACTGGAGAACAGATCATAGGGCGCACACAATCGATGGAATTAGTGACGGTGGTACAGGAATGAACTAGTGTTGAATTCATGATGGAAGCATACCCCTCATCGTCAGTGTGGTTTACAAAGCAAACTCAACTAATGGTGGCCGCGTTATGGTCTCAGCTAACACCTATGGGAGTATCAGGGTCTATCTAATTCTGGGTGATTTCAACGCACCTGATGTTGACCGGGACCCGCTTCACTGTGAGCTTTCTTCTGAGTCACTTAGAGCAGTTCTTGATGCCAACTCAGCACACCATATCGCCCCACACCTACCAGGGGACTCACGGAACAACCACAGCACATCCTCAATTCGACGCCGGCAATGGTATTTCCTGACATTTTTGGACTGATTACCGCCGCTAATCAGTCACAACGATCACTGTGCACTTTTCTTCACGTGGATGCGACGTCTCCTCACCTATGACTGAAGAAGCTACCACCGAAATTTTTGGTGCACCAATGCATCCTGCCAAATCGTTCTTATGTCTAGGCCTTGGCAACGTGACAGTATCCCGCCCACGCAATACTACGTATCATTCCTTAACCAATTTCCTGGTACTCTGGTTAGTTCATCGGCTTCCATTTGGAGCCATCGATCATCCATCAGATTGGCATGCCTCAATGTACGCACATTGCTACAAATCGGTCAACAGGCAGCACTTGTCCGAACATTAGAGACCCTCTAAATCGATATCTGCTGCTTAAGGAAGACCCGCTTGTAAGACTAGGGCTCTGTGCTCACTTTGCGATCTCCTTCAGGTGACACCAGAAGCACTTTCTCATTGCGCCTATCCGGTGACAATGCAGCTTCGAGCACCGGCCAAACTAGTGTTGGCATTGGCGAATCCCCGGGCTGAAGCTGCTCTGGTTGATTGAATCCCAATCAGAGTCGGATGTGTGCGGTCCGATTGGCTGGTTCGTTCAAAGCTTCGAAGTTGTGCGGGACTAACAGATATCTATTCGTCATCGCTGTCTATGCACCCACAAATTCTAGCGATGATTCGGTGAAAGACGACTTCTACCGCAAACTGAACGAGCTTCTTCGCCACAGAAGAAGCTCGGACACGGTTGTGCTGGTTGGGGATCTGAACGCGCAACTTGGAAAGTTGTCCAATGATGAACTGCATCTGGGCGGCCAACACGGTGTAGGTATTCATAATGATAACGGTGAGCGGTTAATTCATTTGCGTGAAGATGTCCGCTTATTTCATGCGAGCACTAATTCCCGACACAGCACCCGCCGGAGGGTGACTTGGCGCCCACCGGCCTCGAGCCAGCTATGGATGCAAACCGATCACATTGCGAACAGCTACCGCTGGAGAGGGTGGGTCCAGAACTGTCGCCCGATTTGGAGCACATGTGTGAACACCGACCACGCACCTGTATGTGTAGATCAGCGTATGCGTTTTGGCGGACGCCAACGACGACGCTGCGAGCACAGACACCAGCAAACTGGTGAAGACAGCTGTTCTGAATGCGTATCGAAGTACGCTGACATGCGAGTTGAGTAAGCCCTCACTGGATACAATGGAAAGTCATTTATCCTATGTATACCAGACCTTACTAGCAGCAGGCAAATCCTTAGGTCTGATAGTCAACATGTACATTGGGCCGCTACGCAGTCTCTGGAACGTATCGATGCTCGCCGGCGCATTCCGGCTGGAATTGAACACAAAGACTCGCAAACAGCTCCCAGCAAAACTCCGTGCCAGCCTGAAGGAAGACCGCGAATCTTGGTGGTTTCATCCTGCGTCAAAGAGGGAAGTGGACGCTGCCCTTGGTATATATATATATATATATATATATATATATATATATTCACAGTCTGTTAACAGACATTGTGCCATCAGAACCACGGCAGAAGAAAAAAGTGAAGAAGATGGGAACACTAACGTGAGAAAAATATGGGAAACGATTTTTTTGGTTTTACACACGCCATTTTGTAGTTTTTTGTTTTGTGAGTTTTTGTGTGCATCAAAGGGATGGTGAAATTGCGGAACAACATTGCCGCCACTGATGTCTGTTGCGGGCCATGACGTCCAGTGTTGCAAACCACTGCAATTCAGCATCTCGTGGTCCCCAACCTGGAAGGCGGACTGGTCCGACTGCCGCCAAACTTGAGGTCGCCTTCTTCATACTCCTCCACGTCATCGGCTGTCCACCGCGGCACTTTTTCCAATCGTTCCCTGGGAGTGCAAATAGCGCTCGACGTGGAAGGCGATGGGCTGGCATGCGCAGAACATGGCCGAGCCAGCGCATGCGATGTCGGAGAATAACGTCTTGAAGACTGGCACTATTCGCCCCAAGCACGCGGTCTCTCATCTCTGCGTTGCTTACGTTGTGTTGCCACCACACCCTAGCAATCCTTCGTAGACAGCGATTATCAAAGACTGATAGCCGCTTCATATCTTCCGAGCGAATAGGCCAAGTCTCACAGCCGTACAAGAGTACTGCACGGACGGAAACATTGTACACCCTGCCCTTGAGCTTGAGACACATCACGACGACGTCATAGATGTCTCAGTTTGATGAATGCAAGGCGGGCCTTTGCAATCCGTTGTGAGACTTCATCTCCAACACCGCCACCAGCCGTGATGCAACTCCCTAGATAAGTAAAGCAAGGGACTTGTTCCAGAACATGTCCAGCAATGGTGAGCGCGGATTCAGGCACCTGCCAGTCCTGGAGCAGCGTTTTACATTTTCCCGGAGTGAAGCATAGGCCGTACTTAGACGCCTCCATGGCCAAGCGGTCCAGAGCGCTCTGGACGGATTGTGCGTCGTCCTCCAGCAAGGCGATATCATTGGCGTAGTCCAAGTCCGTGAGTCTGTCTCCAGGGAGAAGCTCAACACCGCAGTCCTGGACACCTTCCAGTGCTCTTTGGAGAACATCTTCGATGGCGAAATTGAAGAGGAAAGGTGAAATAGGGCAACCTTGGCGAACACCGCCGGTCACAGCAAATGAAGAGGAGTGCGTGCCGTAAGCCCTAACTTTGCCCGACGTGTGACTGTAAAGTACTTTCAGGATGGTTACGAACTTGTCGGGCACACCTTTCTTTAGTAAACAGTTCCACAACGCAGATCTATCTACTGAATCAAATGCCGCTCGGATGTCCAAAAACACTACGATTGTTGGCCGCCGGTGGATGTGACGACGTTCAAGAACTTGCCGAAGCGTGAAGATTTGGTCGATGCAGCCGCGGCCTGGACGAAATCCGGCTTGTTCTTCTCGGGAAAACTCCTCTCTAGTCGTTGAAAGCCTGCCAAGTAGGACCGACACGAAGATTTTGGATGCGACAGAGATTAGGGAGATTTCGCGGTAGTTGCAGCAATCGGCGCGGGAACGCTTCTTGTGAATCGGAACAATGACCGACCATCTTTGAATAGAGCCGGTGGTAGGTTGTCGGGACCCGAAGCCTTGTGGCGTTTCAAAGATTGGACTACATTTCGAATCTCT